TAACCGCAGTTCTAGTTCCAGACCTGGTGAATTAAAACTCACGCTGGGCACATGTGCATGCACGCCCAAGAGGAGAAGGGATTGCAGTGTGGCCATCCCTCTGGTGGGTGATTTCTCGCTGTCTCTGGCAAGCACTTGAGCCCTATAGCAAAAATCTTTTACCAAAAAAAAAAAAGAGGAGGAGGAGGAGATCGGGCAAGAATTGATGAACCTCTGATTCCTGGATGGCTACCTAAATCATTCACAGTATGGAACTACAAGCCATAGCTACAATAGGTAAAAGTTACTAATGGAATTTAGAAATGGTAGATCCAATTCCTGAGAAGTTAACTCACCAGATAAATGTGGAAATGTAAATTAATCATTGAAAAAGCTTATTGTGGGGCCAGCAGATGGGAGTAATAGTTAGGTCACTGGACTCCCACATAGTTGACCACAGTTTGAGGCCTTGGACACTGCGACTTAAAACTCACGCCAGGATCCTTTGCATGTTTGCCCCGAATCCCAAGAGGAGAATGGAGAAGGGACTGCAACCGTGGCCATGTCCTCTAGGGGGTGATTTCTTGCTTTCTGTCTTTCTCTGCCTCTCTATCTAGAGGGTGCACACATCCTATAACAAAAATCTCTCTTAAAAAAGAAAAGAAAAGAAAAGAAAAAAATTCATTGTACAATTCTTTGTTACTGTTATCTTTAATAGCTAAAATGGCAATACAAGAGTACTGGGATTGATCCTAACACTGGGGTCAACCTCAGATTTCAGCCCATCTCGGTCTCAAAGTCACTCCAAAAGGAAAAATTATGCTGAGACATGAGACAGCAGCTCTATGACTTCTGATCACAAAAAGGTAGTCCACATGAGGAAAAAACAACCAAAAACTACTGAAACCAGGGAGTATAATACAAAGGAGCTGTTGCACTTTATGGATCAACACTGTCAGATTCCTGAGGGAAAATCTTTACTAAAATGGACTGAGTGATTAACCCAGAGGCAGTATCTTTGGTTTTGAATGCCACAGAATGGAAGAGCATGTTTGGGTTAATGCAACCCAACTGTACACTACTGAATGACCATAGGTGCCAGACACATAGCATGTTATTCCTCAGGGGACAGATTGGTAGACTAGGTAAAAGCCACTGTAAAATATTTTTTACCCTAAAAAAGGCAATTGTCCTTTTCTTCTTGTCCTATAAATGCCAAATAGAAATCCCCAGAATAAGCAGCTAATATGTTTCTTACGTGAGCCATGGTAGACTGACACTGTGATGATTGGGATAATTGTCTAATTAATACGCCTCATCATACACGATGAACACTGTGATTATGGGAGCACCTCTTCTGTGAACACCACACGTAACCTTACTGTGGAAAATCTAATGAGGATATGCGAAGGAATATCAGATTTATTGTCTCAGCTTCCCTTTTTGGGGTCTTAACAGATGCTAAGACAATTATAGTGACTCATAAGAAAACAAAGAAAGATAAAGGGGACAGGTCAAGGGATTTATCCAAGCAAGACAGAAATCTTCTGATGGTTATTTCAAAATGGAATAGATAAAATAGACATTTACAGGGTTGAAACAAAGGTCTTAATGTAGCACTACCAGAGGGCTAGATGGACCAAGGGGAGTCCCTGCTAGTTCCTGACATTAAATGGCCTTGAACTAGCTCAGCTCTGTTTCACTCCCTCCCCCCTTTGGAGAAATTTTAAAGCCAAAGGGCAAAAGTGACAATGAAGAACTGGACCTCAAACTACCCAGGCTATTGTGAAGCAAATTAGTCAAGACAAAGAAAGGAGATACAAAAGTCCTCTAACTCAACCCCAACTGAAGAAACAGTATTTATGTATGTGTGAAAAAAAAAAGCCTGGGTGACAGATAAGAGACATTTCTTGACAGGTTAGTTCAATGCACTGTGATTACAAAACCTTCTAAAGTTCTCACAGATGCTTAGACTGTGAGGAGGCAATGGTTCATAGGATTACAGCCAAGTAATTAAATTATATTAAAATTAGAATATACTGGGACCAGCAGTTGGCGTAATGGCTGTGACTGGACTCCCATGTAGTCGACCGCATTTCAAGTCCCGGATCCGGAAGCTTAAACTCACACCAGGTGCATGTGCATGTGCATGCCCAAGATCCCAAGAGGAGAATGGAGAAGGGATTGCGGGTGGCCATCCGCCCTGCAGGGTGATTTCTCGCTTTCTATATCTCTGTCTCTCTCTGTCTTTCTGGTGAGCGCACACACCCTATAGCAAAAACCTTTAAAAAAAATAATTAGAATGTACTAACAGACTTGAAGTACTTTATCTGAATATACTACTAGACAGTGACTAGTGAACTGACTGACTAGTGAACACCCCACGTGCCTACTATTATTGTGAAACAGAAGGCAGGTAAGTTCATCTAAAGGCCAGTCTTGATGGGACATGCTAAATGAGAACCAACCACTTGAACTACCCAAACCCACAATGGTTGTTAATTTGAGATAGTACAGAATGCCTGATGGACAAAAGGAGGTTATCATTTAATGCAAAGTGAGAGGCTAGAATGCCAGTGCCAATGAATTCTCTGTACAAGAAACCTATGTGACCTATGAAAAAAGTAGATGGCTCACTGAGACTAAAAGTCAACTACTGGGTTGTCATGATGCATTTTTGCATAGAAAAATATGTCAGGACTTTCCCAACAACCTAATATTAAGGTTTAAATAAAGTAGTGCTGCCATAGCATCAGCAACCTCTGAAATGGTCTTAACAATTCAAAAACTGATAGCGGGATAAAGGAGAGTGGCGCTCAGTGACTGACCTTGCAAATGTTTTTGTTTGGTTGGTTTCCTTTATCTCCATTGTGAAAAAGCCACAATCTGTTTTCACATGGAAGGGATTCCAATTTATACTTAACTATATTGCTACATGGTTATTTCAACTCACCAGCTCACTGTCACAATTTGATTAAAAGAGATTTAGATTTGATGCAGGTCCCAAGTGTAATAATGCACTTTATTGATGATGATATGGTAATATCATAAACTGAAAAACAAGGAAGGACTAACATCAATGCAATGGGGCCACACATTACTAGCAGGGGTGGGTTGATGAAACCAGCAGAGGTCCAAGAGCCTGTCCAAATAGTGAAATCCTTAGGATTCAATCACAGCTACTCATAAAATTTCACAGATTAAAAAAAAAAAACAAAACTGCTGTCACCACCTACTCCTGGAACTAAACAAGAAGTCCTGCATTTGATTGGCATATTTGGATCTGGGGGGACACATATTCTACCTCAGGGAATATTACTAGCTCTTAACAATGAAACTTTCTCTCTCTCTCTCTGTCCCTCTCTGGTCAAATTTAAGTAAATAAAAATAAATAAAGATAAATAATTCTTAAAAATAAAAAGATTTACATTCAGAGGTGGATGAGTGTAAACAGCTATCCTACTAAATAAGACAAGTGTTCTATAAGTTCTATAAGTCTAAGACATGCCTAAATTACAAAAAGTAGTCAATATCGTAATAATTTTGGGGACCCTAAGGCCCACATCCAGTCACGAATTTGGAAGTGTCAGCAACATAAACTTAGGGAGACTTGAGCTTATGGCAAAATCCTGTGAGTGCCAGTCAGAGGAAACCACTAGGACTTTTTTTTTTTTTTGGCAGTTTTTCACTATAGGGCGTGAGCGCTCGCCAGACACAGAGACACGGAGACAGAAAGCGAGAAATCACCCCCCAGGGGGGATGGTCACGCCGCAATCCCTTCTCCTCCATTCTCCTCTCCGGATCTTGGGCATGCACACACACGCGCCCGGCATGAGTTTTAAGCCACCAGGTCCGGGATGCGAACCGCGGTCAACTACATGGGAGTCCAGCGACATAGCCATTACACTAACTGCTGCTTCCTGAAACCACTAGGACTTTTGACTGGAGTTTCAGAATAGATCCAAAACAGTTCAGATAAAAGAGATTCATAATACCTAAGTACTTTTTTTTTTTCCTTTTTCCTTTTGGAGAGGTTTTTGCTATAGGGTGCGTGCACTTGCCAGAAAGACAGAGAGAGACAGAGAGACAGAAAGCGAGAAATCACCCCCCAGGGGGGATGGCCACGCCGCAATCCCTTCTCCTCCATTCTCCTCTCAGGATCTTGGGCACGCACGCACACGCACCCGGCGTGAGTTTTAAGCCACCAGGTCCGGGATGCGAACCGCGGTCAACTACATGGGAGTCCAACGACATAGACATTACACTAGGTACTGGTCCCAGTACGTAAGTACTTTTGAATTCTGGGTTATAGCAGGTTTAAAACCCAGAGAGTTAACAACTATGCTTACTGTGCTGATAATTTCCTAATTTTTCCTGCAAATTACACACAATGGATATCGGACATACCCATAGGAATACTAACTTTTCAGATTAAAGCCTACACAGTTGGGACCAGCTGTTAGTGTAATGGCTATGTCTCTGGACTCCCACGTAGTTGACCGCGGTTCAGGTCCCGGACCTGGTGGCTTAAAACTCACGCCGGGTGCGTGTGCGTGCGTGCCCAAGATCCCGAGAGGAGAGTGGAGGAGAAGGGATTGCGGCGTGGCCATCCCTCCTGGGGGGTGATTTCTCGCTTTCTGTCTGTCTGTCTGGCGAGTGCCGTATAGCAAAAACCTCTCCCCCCCAAAAAAAAGCCTACACAGTCTAAATATATTACATTACACTTGGAAAAAGCTTTTTTGAACCATAGGACCAGCAATCAAAGAAATAATACAACTTCATTCTTACACACTCGAAGCCACCTAATGATACATTTAACAATATTCATAAGACAATTAGATATAAACAAGGAAATCATTAAATAATTTATCAAAACACATTGCTTCAAGAAATAAAATATATAAAATGTAGATTTAAAATACTAAGAGACAAAATTATAGGATCAATATTTGCTTTAAGAATAAATAATTTTGCAAATGCATTTTATAATATTTCTTGGTATGCAATTAGGATATCTGTACCTATGTTCTTTGTGTTCCAATAGCTGACAGTCTCTACATGTCAGTCTATCGCATGTTTCACAGAAAAGTTTCAACTGTTCTTGTTTGTGTACAGGGCAGAAAACAGGGCGCTGACCAGATGCTCCAACAGACTCTGTAGTAAAATAAACAAATATTTTTTAGCCAAACATAAATTTTTTATCTGTCTAAATTCTTATTAATGCTGATATTCAAAGGTTATAAAGAATAAGAAGAAAATGCAACAGGGATTGCGACCAGCAGTTAGAGTAATGGCTGTGTTGCTGGACTCCTGGACTCCCATGTAGTTGACCGCGGTTTGAGTCCCGGACCCGGTGGCTGAAACACACGTTGGACACATGTGCATGCATGCCCAAGATCCTGAGAGGAGAATGGAGAAGAAGGGACTGCGGTGTGGATCCCCCCTGGGGGGTGATTTCTCGCTTTCTGCCTCTCTGTCTCTATCTGTCTGGCAAGTGTATGCGCCCTATAGCAAACCACCCCCCCAAAAGCAACAAGGGCAAAAGAGGGAGGTTAATTAAAATTATTAAAATTGATCGGGGGAACCAGCAGTTAGCATAATGGCTATGTCACTGGACTCCCATGTAGTCGACTGCGGTTCGCATCCCGGACCCGGTGGCTTAAAACTCACGCCGGGCGCGTGTGCGTGCGTGCCCAAGATCCCAGGAGGAGAATGGAGGAGAAGGGATTGCAGCGTGACCATGCCCCCTGGGGGGTGATTTCTCGCTTTCTGTCTCTATGTCTTTCTGTCTGTCTGGAGAGCGCACGCGCCCTATAGCGAAAATTTCTCCAAAAAAAAAAAAAAAAACTGATTGGGACCAGCAGTTGGCGTAATAGCTATGTGGCTGAACTCCTTTGTAGTCAGCCGCGGTTCAAGTCCCGGACCAAGTGGCTTAAAGTTACCCTGAGTGCATGTGCGTGTATGCCCAAGATCCCAAGAGGAGAATGAAGGAGAAGGGACTGTGGCATGGCCAGCCCCCCTGGGGAGTGATTTCCTGCTTTCTGTCTCTCTGTCTCTCTCTGGCGAGCGCATGCATGCCCTATAGCAAAAACCTCTCCTAAATAAATAAATAAAAATTTTACAAAACCGACCGTTCTTACCTGAGACATCTTCTTTTTTCCTGATCAAGTGATCTTTAGTGAATTTTACTCTTTGATGTGCTTCGATACATGTCTTACACAGCCACTCTCCACATTCTACACAGAAGCCAACTGCACTTGCATTGTCTTCACAACTAGTACATACCTAAAAGAGGAAGTAAATACTTACCTAAATTAAATTGACAAACTATAAATCCACAAAATAAAAGATACAAATTTACTAATTTACTCTCAAATATCCTGGCATAAAACAAAATTACTGTGTTACCCATTTATCTTCAACAAAATCCTTTTCCTTCATTTTCAAACATTTAGGTATAAAAGCTAAGACTCAGAACACAACATCTACACAAGATTTGTCTTTTAAGTAATGATTATAGTCTCATCTAACCAAGTTTGTGGGTACAGAAAAAGTTTTCCTCAATTTGAAATATAGAACTGTACCAGAACTATTCTAAATTATTTACTCAAAGATGTTTTTCTTATTGTTTTGATATCAAGATAGGAATATAAAGAAAAACTGAGAAGCATACCTGTTCTGATTTCTCATCAGAACTGCTAGGAGCTTCAGATGTGTCTTTCACAAAATAATTATCCACCAGGTCTATCTGTCTGCATTCTTGCCGGCATACCGGGCACCGTATTACACCAACTACAACATAAAATCACAACAATTAAAAAATACTCTCCGGTTAATAGGGAAATTGTACATGATGCCCATATGGAAACTGTTCATTCATATGTCATAAATAAGACTGAAAAAAGTGATGAGCATCAGAAGATGATTAAAATAACCCACTGAGTTACTCCTTCCAAGGGAAAATGTACCCTACTTAGGAGGAGAAAATAAGCATTAATATGTCCCCCCAAGAAGTACTTCTTTATTACAATGCACGGTTAGCTACACAATGACCACAAAACAAATACAGGTCCTAAGCTCTATTTTGGAACCTATGGATGCTACTTTACATGGCAAAAGGAACTAGGGACTTGGTGGATATGATTAAAGCACCTGAGAAGGAAAGATAGTTCTCTGGATTATTTAACAGCCCAAAAATGTAATCAACTGACCTAACAAAAGGGAGGCAGAGAAAAATTAAACTACAGAGTAACAGAAAGCAATTGATAATAGAAGCAGAGATTTAAAGTGATGCAGAAAAAGACAAGTGACTACTAGATGTTAAAAAAGACAAAGAAACAGACTGTTTCCAGAGCCTCCAGAAGGAACCAATCTTTACACTTTGTTGTTCGGAGAAACTGGTTCCAAACTTCTAGGGCCCAGAATGTAAGAAATTAAGATGTGTGTTTTTTGTTTTGTCTTGTTTTGTTTTAGGTTTTTGCCATGGATGCGTGATGCACTTAAACAAGAGAGAGAGACAGATGGTAAGAGGGCAAGTGAAAAATCACGCAGTACCACCACTGCCTCCAGAGGGGATGGCCACACCACAATCCCTTCTCTTCCATTCTTCTCCTGGGATTTTGAACACACATGCACACACACCCAGCATGATCTTCAAGCCATCAGGTCTAGGACTTAAACAGCTGTCAGCTACATGGGAGTCTAGTGCCGTGAGCTGACCCCTAGTGAGTTGTTTTAAGCCAAGTTTGTGGCAATTTTGTCACAGCAGCAATAGAAACTACTTATAAAATCATTTTACACATTTTTAAAAGTTTATTTATTTATCATTATTATTATTTGCTACAGGGCATGTGTGCTCGCTCACCAGAGAGAGAGAGCACAAGCAAGTGAGGAAGACAGAGAGAGAAAGAAAGTGAAAGAAAGAAAGCAAGCTGCCAGGTCTGAGACTCGAACTGCAGTCAGCCATGTGGGAGTCCAGCACTTTAACCACCACGCCACCTGCTGGCCTCCATCTTACAAATTTTTACTTCAAAGATACCTGAACTTATTATATTAATAAGGGAAGAAAGATAATCTGTGCCTTTCTGTGCTAGTGTTCTACCATTTATCAGATAAGCTACTAAAGGAACATATAGGAGATAAAGTTAAGAACTAAAAAATAACGGGCTGGCCCCATGGCTGCCTTAACAGCGATTAAGTGCCGTGCAGGGGAGGCTTGATCCCATGCGGCCAACTGCAGTTCACATCCAGACTCCTGTGGCTTAAGAAACTCTCTGGGCAGGTGCAGGTATCACTGGGATCCTCACAAGATGGACGAAAGGACTGCAGCGTGACCGGTTGGAGATGTACATACTAATTCCCTCTCACATGCACAAATGTAACCTCTGGCATTTAAAGAAGAAAAAGACCTAAAACACAGCACCAGAGTAAACGCTATAAACTATTATAATTACGTGTCAGCCACAGAATAGAGGACATAGGATAAATGACATAACCCTTGTCTTCATGAAATAGTTAAAAATTAATTTATAATTTTGGCATTTATAATGTACACCACAGGAAAAAGAAACATCATACAAAGACAGAGAGCAAGCAAAGTCCCCCAGAGATAAGTAGTACACAAACTAAATAAATACACATTCGGATGGAAAATGAAAATACGGCATTATGAAAGCAAAAATATCAGAATTTCATGGGAGAAACAGAACATTGTTAAAACAAATGCAAATACATAATTATATACTTGGGAAAAAAATATTGCTTTCCCAGAGCTGTTTTATCTTTATTATCACAGGGTGTACGCACTTAGCAGAAACAGACAAAAGAGAAAGGAAGAACAAAGCACCCCTGCCCCCACAGTGAAGCACAGTCATGCCCCGATTCCTTTTCTCCATTTGTCCATTCTCTCGAGATTGGGGCAAGTATACACACAAGCCTGGCATGTTTTTCCAGGTTATCAGAGCCAAGACTCAAGTTGTGGTGGGGCATATAGGATCTAGTTCCTTTAACCACTAGGCCACAGGGCCTGTCCCAAAATTTCATTTCTACAGCATACGATTTATATACTTTACAAAATAGTATCCAAAATGCATGTAAACACCCTCCTCAAAAGAAATAAACACCAAAAAATTCAAACCAAAGAAAATGGTACAGTGAAAAGAAAGAAGAAAACGAATATAAATATTTTCAGGTTTGAGGAGACACTAATTAAAAACCTTTGGCCCAGTCCGGTCCAGTGGTAGTTAAGGCGGCTGGATCCCACATAGCCGACTCCACCGTTGGAGTCTCAGACCTGGTGGCCTGAAAAATCATGCCAGGAGCACATGCCCGATAGCAAAAACTTAAGGAAAAAAGGAGAGATAATGGTCTAGGAGTTCAGAACTGAAGAAATAAGCCCTCAGAGACTGCAATATACATCCTGAGTCTACGCCTAGATACAGCATAAGAATGACACAAATACGGAGGGAAAAAAGGCAATCAGACTGACCACAGGCCTCACTAGTAAAAGAGAATACCAAAGAAACAAGAGTGATATTTTCAAAGCTTTAAGGGAAAATTAACAGTCAACAAAGAATTTTATATTCTAATAAAGCCTTATTCAAGAATACAAGCAGACCCAGCTTTGATGGCACAGTCAACAGCATACTGAACCTCAGTGCTGGAAGCCACGTGGTCAACTGCAGGTTGGTATACAAACAGAGTTAAAGACATGCCAGGTGTGCATATCAGAATCCTGATGAACTGGATGGATGTGGAAAGGGTATCATGGTATGATGAAACACTATGAAAACTGCCTCTCCCAATCTCTCTCTTGTGCATGTGCTCTCTCGCTCTTGCTCTCTTGCTCTCTCTCTCTCTCTCTCTCACAAATGAAATATTCTTCAGAACATTTTTTTAAAAGAGTAGGAGCAAAACATTTTCAGATTTATAACAGAACACTGCTCATTGCTAAAATTAGTAAAGCATAAAGTTGAACCACACAAAATTACCAATATCAAACCACTTGTGATCTGCAAATATAGCAAATCTTTACAGTTCAATCTAGTGTTTAACAAAACGAAAATATTTAAAAGTGTGATGCAAAAAATACTTAGCAAAGGCATCAATAAAACAGCTGTTACATCTAAATATGCACTGACTAAAAGAAGACATAAAGATATCTAAATACTAGTTTGGGAGATTTGAAAAAGATGAAATTAAAAGATCAAGTTTTCAGGGTATTTTGTTTAAGGAGAGTTTTTTTTTTCTTTTTTTGGAGAGATTTTTGCTATAGGGCACATGTGCTTGACAGAGAGACAGAAACCAAGAAATCACTCCCCAGGGGGATGTCCACACTGCAATTCTCCCCTCAGGATCTTGGGCACACATGCACACGCACCCAGTATGAGTTTTAAGCTGCCAGGCCTAGGACTCAAACAGAGGTTGACTATGTGGGAATCCAGCAACGTAATTTTTATGCCATCTACTGGTTCCAAAACTTCAGTTTTAAAAAATCACTCTTGGGGCCATAATATTTAAACAAAACAAAACAAAAGAATAAAAACAAAAATTACAAATGAAAAATACAGACAGGACCACGCATGTAGCACAGTGGTTAAACACTGTGTGGAGGGAGCCAGATTCCACATGGTTGACCATGGTTCAACTCCCAATTTGGCCCATGGAGGACTGAGAGGAGTCTTCTATCTTTCTTTCTTCCTTTCCTTTTTATTTCTCTCTCTGATACATGCATGCATCCTTTAACATAAAAAAAGGTAAAGATATATTTTTAGGCAGATTAGAGAATTGTGGGAATTTATTTAGATCTATGGCCTCTACTTACTTGAGTTAGGAACCAGTCACTGATGAGAGAATTTGGAGTTGAGTGTTCAAAGTCTGGGTTGAATAATACAGACAACGGGGGAAAAGAAGAGAATAACAACACTGTCAGATGGTGCCCAAAGCCCCAAATTTGAAAGGCATAACCACTATCGCCTATTCATCTCTATTCCCACTCTATGGAGACAAATGATAGGTATGTTGGAAGCAATACACTTTCACTTAGGGATGAAGGCAACAAAATTAACAACTAGATTCTGAACCAACAGGTCACTAATCTTTTTTACAGAAATGTGATGGCAATGGGTGACAGCAATGGAGGTAGTAGCATATATCTGTTAGCAGGATTATGAAGAGCTGGAGATACAAAATGTTGAAATACATTGCCCACTCGTACAAAAAACTGGAAATGAAGAAAAGGAAAGAGAACGATTTCTCAAGCAAGACTGAAATAAAAACACTGCAGATATGATACAGAAAATGACTAAAATAATTTATAACCAAATTGGTTTAACTTCTACAAAACAATACCATAGAGTAAAATAAACAGGTTATGTGGGTCAGTATCCAGCAAATTTCACAAGCTGCTTTTACCCTCATGTATGAAACTGGCTTAAGTTGAAGCCACAGTTACATATGGCTACACATGTACACAAATGATTACATAAAACGGGATACTGATATTAAACATAATAAATAAAATACATTTAGAAAATTAATTAAGCTGGGTTGGCAGGCGGCGTGGTAGTTAAGGGCACTGGACGACCACATGGCTGACTGCAGTTTGAGTCCCAGATTTGGTGACTTGCTTTCTCTCTCTCTCTGTCCCTCTCTGGTCAAAGAGGATAAAGAAAGAGAAAGAGAGATAGGAAGAGAGAAAGAGAGAAAGACAGAGAGAGAGAAAAAGTTAAATAATTTTAGAAAAAAAAGAAACTGCATTAAGCATGAATTTGACAATAAAGTTTATTTTTTTG